CTGGAAGGCCCCACTCCTTGTCTATTGTTTCATGACTGAGGACTCAATGTGACCAACTGCCTTGTGCTCCTGCCACCATGTTTCCTCCTCCTTAATGGCCCGTATGCCCTGAACTGTGAGCTGAAATGAACTCTTCCTCACTTGTATTGCTGCTTATCAGGTATGTGAGCACAGCAATGGGAGATGCAATTGATACATCGAGAATGTAACTTGTTGGTGTCTGACATGACACCTCCTGTCCTCATGTGATGGGTCACAGTCAAGACAGTACATTAAAAATACTGTACTGTCATTACATTCAAGCCATGTGTAAAAGCCATCTAGGAAACATAATGCATTTTGTATTTAAGTTGGGTCCCTTCCCAAAGTATTTCATCATGTGTGTGTTCATGGCTCCCACCTGGAAAATATCTGAAATCTGAATCACTGGCACAGGAATATTCACCTGTGTTTGTGTTTTTCTGAGTAGCTTGTGTCACTTGGTGTAATGCTGGCTGTTTAATTTTAAATTAAGTGAAAATGTAGTTCCTAGCCAGGAGTGGTGGTGCATGCCTTTAATTCTAGCACATGGGATCTCTATGAGATCCAGGCTAACCTGGTATACATAGTGAATTCCAGGCCAGCTTGGGCTATAGGGAGACCCTGTCTCAGAAAGACATTAAACTAGCATTTCAAGTACTCATTAGCCCCACCTCGCTAATGGCTACTGTGGTCCAGACAGAGCAAATTCCAACAGCACAGAAAGCTCCATCAGACAGAAAGTTGGTTACTTACACTGTGACCGACTGGGAGTAGGGGTTGGGAGAAAATATATCAGATATATTTTCATACTGTGCCAGCTAATAATCTGACTTCCTTTCTCTGCCACAAAAATGACACCTGCTACAGTATATATATATTTAAATTTCTTGTATCCTTATCCCAGCTTCTTGTCTTTTCATACTCCTTCTCCAGTGCATGACCATTAAAACTAGTTTTGGATAGAGAACCTAGAGAGCATAAATGAGCTTTAAAACGTTCCCAGGGTGGACTTGGAAATGCCAGTTAGCATCCCCATTGATGGGACTTAATTTGGAGTGTTTCATTAATTAGAACTGTTTATTGCTAATCTGGCAAGAATCCTAATTGGCTTTTGCTACAAAGCAGCCATATTCAGCAGGCCTACCCCTCAGCCTGCTGTTTTTAAGACTTTTTTCCCTGAGACCCACAGTGAAAGGGGAATGCCATGTCTGGTACCCACACCTATGTAGTTATATTCAGTCCAACTTTGAGCTACTGCATCAGCACTGACCCTTGCTTGTGAGATGCATATTTATTTCTTAAGGTGCTTTTCTAAAACATATGTGGATTTTACCCATCCACTCACTTGATTCCATAAGCCCCAAGAAGGCAGGAGGTTTGGAAAGTGCTGGCTTGTCCATACAGGGATGCAGCTCCCACCACCTGTGAGGCCTCTCTCTGAAACAGTCTTCCATCCCCCACCCATTTTTCTTTTGTGGGCTAGGAAGTGATGCCTACTCAGGGGAGAGAGGTGGAAGTTGTGGAAAAATAAAGGCATCAAAATTCACTTATGAGCCAGAGGGAAGATGTAAACTGAAGAGTCTGGGTTTGAATGAGGTCATCTTTCTGGTGAATTCTGCCTTAGTATCCTGTGATTCACACTGGGATAAAAAGAATATGTACCTGGAATATCAGCTTTAGCTCCTGGAGTAAGAGCTACTGTAACAAAGGCTGGTGTTTTCTCCAGGCTTCTAGAAGCACCTTCTTCTTTTTTTTTAAGTCATGATCTCACTGTTGTAACCCTGGCTGGTCTTGTCTGGAACTTACCAGGCTGGCTTTTTTGGCTTTTTCCTTCACAATACTGGATTAAAGGCATGCACCAAAGGTGTAGATCACTAGGCCCCAAGACTGGCAGATTATTCAGTTTTGATGGCTGATAGCACATTTAGTCACTGGAATAAGTGGGGGATTTTCTAAAGTACTTTGGGCTTAGCAGAAGCTTTGATTTGGAAATCTTTACTTCTGGGTTTCTTTGTTCTCCCAATAGAGTTCTTAGTAGCTACCCATGGCTACTGACATATTTAATGTTTGGAATCAAGTTGACAATTCAGTTCTGTAATCAAACTAAATATACTTCAATAGCTGCATAAGGCTAGTGGGCCCTATACTGGAGCATGAGATAGGATATTTCCATTATCCTCTGGTCTAGGAGTCTTTCAGAGTTATCTCTGAGGCTAGTCAGTATGTACAATTTAGGCACAGTAAGTACTAATTTGCTGGTATTTGTGATGTAATTTGTTGGTTCGTCCACTGAGCTAGATGAACACACACACACACACACACACACACACACACACACACAGAGATAGAAATTCCACTTCCTTGGACATTTCTGCTCATCCACAAGACCAGGTGAAAAAGCCAGCCTCCTTTGTCCCTAGCCCCCCCCTGGGCTTCTGTTGCCTGTGTCCTCCTCAGGGTCAAGTGACCCAGTGACTCAGCTGACTTGCTGAGTAAGTCTAAGCTCTGACTAAAGAATAGATCCTTGCTAAAAATCCTTTGAATTTCTATGTATTCTACAGATACCTCTTATAAATGAAAGACCTGTTCTTGAAGTAGCCTAGACATTGAACTAGCAAGGTAATTTCTAAACACAAACGGCTGACTCTGCAACTTGGTAGCTGCTGTAGATATGAATGAAGCCAGTCAATTTGGATCAGCTTGCTCAGCAGAAATTTTTGAAATGCCACCCTATTTTAAAAGTCAAGCCCCAAAGTATCTTCTACTTAATCAGCCTCCATAGTTTATAGTATTTCTTCAAGTATGACTTAATTTTATACTTGTGAAAAGCATGTGCACTGAGACAAAACATTTGTAGAAGCAGCCCAGCCTGAGAGGTAAAGTGATTTGCCTGTTGTCACACAGCTGGCAGAGCTGAGCTTTGAAGCCCAGTCTAGAGCTTTTCTGAGACTATTGCTCTACTTCTCTGTTAAAGATGTGTTTAAGTTGAGTACTTGATAACACAAAGGGAAAGTGGGTTCAGTAGATAATGTTTGTAGATTGTCTTTAATGCTGAGTTGGAGAAGAGGTTACTGTAGCTGGGTAGCATGGGTCCTGCTCTCAGGGACCTTTTTAGAAGCAGATGAAGAATAGTTACAAGTAACAAATGCATATTATTCTAGAACAAACTGGATGTGTTACTGTTCATGAATGCTGAATAAATGGCTGAGTTCTTTATGAATACCTTCCTGAAAGGAAGCATTTTTTAATCAGATTCTGATAATGCAGAAAGACTAAGGGAAGGGTATTCAGGCCAGGTGCAGAAGCATGATGACAAAGGAGGCAGTTGTAGAGATCATTTCAGTCTATAGAATGTTAAAAAAAAATGAAACAAGAAAAGAATGCTTGTTTATTAAAAATCTCCTCGGCATAAGACATTGTATAGATAGCAGGGAAAGGAATACTCAGGAAAAGCGGTGGAGCAAAGGCCCTGGGATGCTGGAGAACTAGAAAGAGGCCTGTGTGCTGATGTGAGCATAGAGGGGCGAGTAGTGTGAGCTGAAACTGAGGAGGGGGCACAAGCTGATCAGACTATTTGTCAGGCCCTTATTTTAAGAGCTGTAGTCAAGCTAAAATACTTGAAGCAGAGATTACATGATCAGATCTTCTTTGAAGGAATGTCTCTGGCTCCAGTGTGGAGAATACTTGGGAGAGAGCTGAGGTTTTGCAGCAGTCCCTGAGGGGCTACTGCATGATCTAGACTCAAGATGATGGAGCCTTGATGAGGATGGCAGCAGCTGGGCTGGAAGAGAATGGCTAATTCCATAGAGATTTAGGAGATGGTGAAGCACATGATAAGGATGGTGTCTGAGTCCCAGGTGCTCCAATGGGATGTATGGTGGAGCTGGTCTCTGAGATGTGGAACCTTGTGAAGGACCCAGTTTGGGAAAGGTCTGCCTTGGATATCAGAAGACAAGTCAGCCCAGGAGTCACTGCAGAGGGGAGGAAAGCCAAAAGTGCTTGTGTATTATGCCATTGGGACAGAATAAAAATTGTTTTTAAAAACAGAGTGGTCACTTGACTTGATAGACCTTAACATAAATGACAGAATACATGAAGTCTAGTTGGGGGGGTGGGAGGGTGCTGATGGGGAAGGAGGTATAAAGATAATTAAGATGTTGCATATAAAATACACAGAAATTCAATAAAAAATAGAGTGGTCATGGCTTTCAGTTTATCACTAGATAAATTTCCTCCTAAAAACCCAACCTCTGAATGTGGCAGCTGCCAATGCATCTTTGGATCCAAGGTACTTCTGCAAGGTACAGTTTGCTGTCTATATCTTTGCTGGTTCTGTATCTTTGGATTCAGACAACTGTGGCTCAGAAATGCCAAATGGGGGAGTGCATCAGAACTTAACATGCAGAGGCCTTTTTATCTTTCCGTTCCCTCAGCAGTACAGTATATGAATTATTCATGTAGCATTTACAATGTATTAGGTATTATAAATAATCTAGAGATGATGTAAAGTCTACAGGAGATGTGCAGAGGTTTATGCAAATGCTACGCCCTTTTCTATAAGGGACTTGAGCATCTATGCAGGGTCCTGGCATCAACCTCCTATAACTACGAAGCGACAGTTGTGTATTACTTATTCATTTATTCATGTGACAGATCGCAACGTGTGTGATGTGTCTTCTGCCTGGAACAATAACTTCTTTCCCATTCCCCTATGTCACTGCTCTTTTGGCTGCCACTGAGGACTGTTGTCAATCTGAGTTTACTTAATCCCATGAAGGACTAAGCATATCTGGTCTCTGCAGCTGTATAATTCTATTTCAGTCTCCTCACCTTTGTTGGCCAGTCAGGATCCTTTTCTGAGCTAACTGTATGCAGTTCAATTGTAAACCTACTGTACCTGGTGAAATGCCTCCAAAGCACCTACAGTTGGAAAGTCCCCGTCCAGCCTTCTGCCACCTCTCACTTTGTTTTCCTTTCAGGATGGCTGGGGCTCCTCCAAGCTACTGTTTTGTGGCCTTGCCTCCACGTGCTAAGGATGACTTGGTGGTGTTTGGGAAAAATTCTGCCCGGCCCAGAGACGAAGTGCAAGAGGTTGTGTATTTCCCGGCTGCTGATCATGATGCTGAGAGCAAGGTTGAGGTAAGTGATGCAGTGTGATCCCTCTGCCAATCATGCATCCTCTCCTGGCTTTGCCTCTAGCTATGTGATTTCTTCCCTAATTCTCACTTGCATGAAGTTGTGCTCAGAGCCTTAATAACAAGGACATATGAAGAAGTCCCTCTTCACTATGGCCCTTGTTTTATATTTAAGTAAAATATTTACATAATTCCAACATAAAATCTATAACGTAAGCTAGATTCATTGAAGTCTAGCTTGCCTTCATGCTCCCTTTCTTCTCCCCTACAGAGAACCTCATTTTGGAAGTGTTTTTGGTGTAGCCTTCTATAGTGGTTTAAATGGGAAATGTTTTCCACAGGCCCTCATATTTGAATACTTGGTCCCAGTTGATGGCGCTGTTTGTGGAAGTTTAAGAGATGTGGCATTGCTGAAGGAAGCATGTCACTGGGGATGGGCTTTGAGTGTTCTCTGCTTCCTGTGTGCTGCTGAGATGTAATCTCTCAACTTCCTGCTCTGGCTACCTGCCACTATGCCTTCCCCACTATTATGGCCATCTATCCATAAGCCAAAACAAATTCTTTCTTAAGTTGCCTTTGATTATGGTATTTTATCACAGCAACCAAAAAGTACAATACACCTTCCATTTAAAAATTTATCCACATATGTAATAAATTATACATATGCATGTATATCATCACCCTAGCTCCTTTCTTCTTAGAGTAAGGGAGCATGCTGTATATACTTCTTTCTTTTTTCCTCTCCCTTCGTTTTTCCTTTTTAAAAAGACATTGTCTTGCTATCTCGCACCCTGACTTTTCCCCTAAGTCCATGAATACTGGGATTGTAGACATGTGCCACTACAGTTGGTCTGCTTTTCTCACTTTGCTCTTTTTTCAACACAATTCATATCTTGGCGATCAGAAGGTGCAACACGCACTGCATACAAATCTGTGTTCTTTATTGGGTAGTGGTCCATCCTATGGATGCACTGATGTAACAAGTTCCATCTTGCTGCTGAATATTTGGGTTGCTTTCCAGTCTTTTGTTATAAACAATGTTGGGGTAGATCATAGCTTTGTGTATCTATCACAGTGTCTTATGTATTTCTAGCATGTTACAGATTGTCTCACCAATTCCCATCTTGAGTGCTTTAAAATATCATTTTTGTTAGTATCAATTTGAGAGAGATGACTAGGAATGAGATTCTGGGCCACAAGTTGCATGAATATGTAATTTTGGTAAATATGGTCCAGTTTCCTCTGTAGGCTTGCCATTTTGCATGTCTGCCAGCAGTGCATGACAATGTCTGTCTTTCCAAATCTCTACAACGTGTTACTGGACTTTTGTGATAGTTATGTGGACTTTAAATTGTTTCTTTAGTTGTGTCAGATTTTGCCATTGATTCTGCTGAAGTTTCCAGGAATTCTCTTATGTGCCTACACATTGGAATGTTTTGATTCTTCTTACATCTCTAATTATTTTCTTGTCTGATTGCTTTGGGTTATATCTTGGATGCGGTAGAGATAAGGGGTATCTTTGCAACTGTGCCTGACCTGAGTGGGTGGTGCCTATGATACTTCCATGTTAAGATGATAGATGTGGGACTGAGATTTGTGTAGTTTTATCAGTTTAAAAATGCTATATGAATTCCTATTTTGAGTGTTTGGAAAAATAGTTCAGAGGCATTTATTAGATTCTGTTGAGTATTTCACCGATTATGGACATGATCGCATAATTCCTTTCTATTTCTTTGGCATATGGAGCCATGTTTGCATTCATGGACTAATCTTCCTACTTATGGCATATTTAGTGTTTGTTTAAATAGTGGTTGCTAAATGATTAAGAATTTTGTAGACAAGAACTGGGCTAGTAAATGATCAAGTGCTTTCCATACCTATACTATTGACTGTTCTGTGGTTTAAAAAAATGAATGGATTTTTCTGGTTATCCTGCTCAGTTTTAAAAGGGTATTTATCAGTATGTGCAGTGTTTCCTTTTCTGAAGTACTAGTCCCACTTCAGTCCTTTAAAAGTACATTTCATCACCAGGAACCCCATACCTCTATGAGAAGCTGCTTGTTTTAGATGGTTTGTGCATAAAAAAGGAAGTTGGGGGACATAGGGAGGTGGGAGTGGATCTGAGAGGAATTAGGGGAAGGGATGGGGGTTGGGTAAATATGATCAAAATACATCGTATGACATTTTCAAAGAATTAATAAAATGCTGCTTTTGACAAAGGCAGAGTTGAGTGTGCACTCTGTGGGCAGGATAGTCGAAGACTGTCTCCCTCAGGGCTTTCAATAGGACTACTTACTTGCCTCTTGAGTTGAGCCACTATAGCTTAGTCCCATGTCTCTAAGCCTCAGTGGGACCTCCACGCAGCTCATCCAATTTCACTGGACAGTCCTCAATGAGTGACTATCTGTGTCATTTGGATTTGAATGTTTCCCTTTTCCAGAAACAGGGTAGACTCTGCATGGATGACATTTGCTGGCTTGGGTTGTTGTTGACCTTCCCTGTCTACTTTTCTGAATATTCTTAAACCCTTACCTCCACTCCAAAGACATACAAACAGAAACAATCCCTTGATTTTTACACAGGTAGATTTCAATTCCCAAAGGGAGCTGTGCCAGTTCCTACCCCACGTGCACTTCTTAAGCTGTGGAGGCTGTTTCCTCCCAGGGAGCAGGAGTGGGGCCTGCATCCTTCACCTTGACCTGGAACACTGCTGAGGGTTGATGTTTCTCTGGCCAGTGGCACATACAGAAGTGATATTGAGTGATTTCTAGGGCTGGATAATGAAGGCATGTAGCTTTTATGTGCCTGCCTTTCTGTGTTTTTCTGGACTTTACCCTGAGAACTCAGTCATGTTGGGAGGTACTAGAGTAGCCCACATGGACAAGATCTGAGGACTCCCAATTAACTCCTAGCATCAACTGCCAGACATGTATATGAAAGAACTTCCTGGTGATTCCAGGCCACAGGCATTGGGGTGTAGACACACCATCCTGTTTGCCTGACTCATTGAATCCATGAGCACAATACATAGTTGTTTAATATCATTAAATTTTAGGGTAATTTGTTAAACAGTCATAGTTCCTGTAACATCATCCATAAGGATTTCAGAAAGGTTTATTTTCTTTCTTGTTGGACAAGCTAAGTAATTATTGGCATTCCACTCTCACATTTAGATCATTTTAGGAAACAGACACGATTCCGTTTACTGTTAACCCAGTGTTATTATCCAAGCAAATATGCTGTATAGGTTAAATCATGGCCTCTTGCATAAGTAAGTGCAGTTGATAATACTCCACAGTTAGTCTCCAGGGCACCCCTGACCTCTCCTTCAAATTCCATACCTCTGCTGTGAGCGGCTATGTATATTGCCATGAGCCTATTTGGCAGATCAAATAACCTGACAGGTCAAATCTTATATATGGTCTCCGTTTCATTTGTCCCTGTTCTGTTAGCACTATTGTCTGCTGATAGTTGCCCTGGATCCAGGGGGAGGCTGATTTTCACATCCCAGGGTCCACAGGGACAGCTGTCACTGTGACCTGTTGCTTCCTGTTATGTGCCCCCATCTCCCCCACTCTGCTCCTGCCCGATTTGGCCTTTTGATACACTCTGGTGGTTCCCCAGTCCTCTTTCTCTTGGATCTTTCTCCGTGAAGGATTGCCAGAAGTTTCTTTCCAGAGCAGAGTTGTCACTGCCCTGTTAAAGCTTTTGGTTGGGTAACAGAACTGGCTGATGTATATGCTGGGTAGAACTTTTCTCAACTGGCATCGTGCTCTCTCTTGACTGCTTTTCCTCTCTTTTTAAAATTAATAGATTAAAAAAAAATTATAACAATATAAGCTGAAAGTACAGAGAGTTCCCAGAAGTCCCTCATTTTGCTTCCTGTATTATTTCAGTGTATTTGTTACAACTGATGAACTGATACCAACTCATGGGCTGCATCACTTCCTGCTCACTTTCCTGTCTTCATTCTTAGTCTCCCAGCTTGCACCTCAGCCTCACTGAATGCTTGCCATTCCTTGAACAAACAACACCCTTGCATTCTCTGTTCTTCCATTTGCTAAGAATGTCCTTCCTTTCTCATCTCATCTGCATGATGGACTAAGCTGCCTTAAGGTTCCAGCACTGATATGCCCTCTTCCTTCTAGCCTGTTATTCTTCTGTGGATATTGTATACTGTGAAAGTCTTCCCACTGTCAATCAACTAAAATTTACAGTGATCTGAGACCAAGGCCATGAGTTCTGACCTGGAGATGGGGTCCTGACTCCTGTCCTATTTTCCTCTTTCCATCATTGACCACATAGAGATCATAATGCCTGCTTTGCCTGCAATCTGGATTTTGTGAGATACATGAACTGACATATTAAAGCCCTTGGTAAACTTTAAGCAGGACATTGCCAGGAAAGGGACAAATCTACCTATCTTCTCTCTCTTTTCCTTTCTTACCACCCTCCATCTCTGTTGAACTAGCACAGATTTAGTGAATCCAGCTCTGTTGCAATTTGCTTTTTTTATTTTTGATACGTGATCTCACTATGCAGCTCTGGCTAGCCTGGAACTTGCTATGTAGAACAGGCTGCCTTGAACTCACAAATACATGCTTGCCTTTCCCTCCCCAGTGCTGGGATTAAAGGCATGTGCCACCACACCCAGTTCAATTTGCATTTTATAAGAGATTTATTTTTTAAAAAATTTGTTATAATTTATTTACTTTTATGTGTATGAGTAGTTTACCTGTATGTATATAAGTGCACCCATTTATACAATACCTGTGGAGGCCAGAAAAGGGCATTGGATCTCCTGGAACTAAAGTTATGGACAGTTGTTAGCCACCATGTGGGTGCTGGGGACCAAACCTAGGAGCTCTGTCATCTTTCCAGCCCCTAGGGATTTATTTTTAAAACAAACATTTATTTTGTGTGTATGTGGGGAGGTGTGTGTGCCACGGTCCATGTGTGGAGGTCAGAGGGCAACTTGTAGAAATCTGCCCTCTCCTTCACCTA